TGTTATTGTCAAGGAGAAAAGTTTTTGTATAACAAATAATTTGAATATTTTATATTCATTGATGATTCTATAAATTCCTTCTTTAATTACATTCAAGTATCTTTAAAGCTGTTGCACGTCCAATATTTCCAAATATTGAATTAAAAAAAAAAATTAATTTTTAATGACCTTATTCTTCCTCTCTACGCTAACATTTTCATAAAATTTGAGAACTGCTGAACGCGCTATTAAATAGCTAAGTTATTAATCAATGACATCTTTATTTTGTTGGTGCAGGATTGTTCAAACGGGCTATTCTGATGTCAGGGTCGGCAATGAGCGCGGACGCCATCGGCAAGGCGCCATTGCAAATTACCAAGCAGGTAAAGAAAGACGCCACTGTATAATAGTCGCCAATAAAAACGCGAGATGAGGATTGATGCGCTTGGATTTCAGTTTCGCGGAATGACAAATTGCTACATGCGGCATCTATTATCATTAATTCCACGATTGACTTAATTTTAGAATTTGAAAGACCTCTCATTTCTCTTTCCCCCCTCTCCCCCCCCCCACCCCCAAGTTCATAAAAATTAGATGCTTAGGTGCTTAAAACGTCGAATCTAATTTTGTTGTGAAGAATTCGCATTTTAACTCCTTAATTTCAATTTAAAATACTTTTTAAAGTATTTTAAGATTTAGAAATAAATTGTCAGATTATAGTGTGTGACTCATCTTCATGAATTATGATATTCGTAATGTATGAATGTCTAAAACTTTTGGAATTTTAGATGTTTGAAAATCGCAACTCTTAAGAAATTCTTAAATTCTTATTCTTCCGTTTTATCTTTTATTTTTTGTTTTCATTACTAATATATAATTCATGGTATTTAGATTTCAACCCTTTTTCTAACATTGAACTTTCTATTTATACATGTATAGGGGAAAGGGGGGGTAAGATGACGACCTTAAGGTTTGTCGATTTTTTCTAATTTCTGTGATGAGATAAAGAGACTAATTAATTTTTTTCACTACAATCTCAGTTATCATTTGTAAAAATTATAAAGCTGTTAAATAAATTACAACTGTGTTAACCATTAACACAGTTATATTTATGTATTATATATATACTGTATGTAATTACGTAATGAACTTATTAGTAAAATATATCTATACTTACTACTGTGTGTAGTTAGAAAGAAAATAAGATTTAAATAAAATTATTAAAGAACATTAGAACTTAACTTGGATATCACAATTATATTACATGAAATCTAATATCTTAATATCACACAGAAAAATGTTTATAATTAATCTTATTTTTAACCAAGTAGGTATTTTATATGAGGCAAACGTGAAAGTTATATTATAAAATATAAATGTTAATTTTTGATTGTGATATATTACGAAGGTATTATGAAAAACTACAGTAACATACAGGAAACAATGTGTAGATTTGAACCATGAGCATCAAATTATTTATTATTTGAGTTGCAAAAATGTCACGCGTGAATACATACTAATCTGCTTCCATGAGAACGTCATCTTACCCATATACGACATTCGCCATCTTGCTCACAGTTACCATATATTTTTATTTAATTAATAAAACCGTTGTATAATGCGAATAATAAAAAAATATTAATATGTTATTGTATTCATTTTTACACAATATTGCAATTTTATTAACAAAATGAAAGTATTTACTTAATTGTGTCATTCCTTACATAAAAATACTGCAAAATTACAAGTGAATGCATCCAAAACACATTTCTTAATATATTATCTATTTTTGTAGTCAGATTGAATCTAAACTATAAGAGATCGTGTATTATTACCTAAAGCCTTTAATAAGTTAAGCATCTGCTTTTTATCTATTATTATCTTTAAAAAATTAACAATTCGTCATCTTACCCCCCCCCTTTTCCCCTACATAAGTTTTGTCATATTATGATTTCTAGATCTTCGAATTCTGAATTGTTTGAATTCCGAGTCTCTCCTGTGAATTCACTATAAATTTAAAAATTCCGAAATTTAAAAACGTTTCTGATGAAAACCGCCGTTTATCATAGTTTTTACGTGGTAACGTATGTTTCACAAACGACGGCGCCGTGTTTCTGCTTCACTCGCGATTTGAATTCGACGGAAAAGACATATCGTTGCTCGTCACGGCGAAGAATCGTTACACAGTTACATCGATGCCGAGGGTACAGGGTCGTTGGCCGCGTTCATTGCGCTCGCGAGCAATGGCGGGGATCGTTTTTCAGGTGGCGCACGCTCTCAACTGTCCCACCACCAGCGACAGCGAACTGGCGCTCTGCTTGCGCAACCAGGACGTAGACAGGCTGCTACACGTGAAAATCCACAAGCCGAAATACGTGCCGGCCTACGCGCCGTTGATCGACCGGGCCGTCATCCCTGACAAGCCGCTCAATTTAATGGAGAACGCCCAGCTCTTCGGCAGGTACGATTTGGGTGGGATTTTTCTATTGAATAATATAGGGAACTAAAGTGACCCAATAATCCTTATACATGGATGTTAATCTTAATCTCTGGTGTTATATATAAAAAATAATAAGTTAGAAAAACTGAAAAAGCAATTTGCGAGATGTAGATGGAACTGTGTGTGAAAAATATTTATACCGATGACTATTACTAATATTTCATGTGACCAATGAATTTTTAGTTAAGTCTGTCCCCTTGGGTATATGAAAGGATTGAAATTTTTCAAGCAAATCATCTATTTACAAATTTAACAAATTAAAAATGACAAACTGTACGTTGTTTTTAGATTTGATCTGATGTACGGTGTAACAGAATCCGAGAAATTCCACATCCTGCCACCAGTTGCTTTGTTACACGGCGTGCTTGATGGACAACGGGATGAAATTCTGCGAGACCATGCCAAAGTAAATTTACTCGTGTGTCGTCGAGTTCGTTTGTCCTAATATGAAGCAATTCTTGTTCAATTTTATTTGTCTTTCTTCTTATTGGATTTATCTTGAGACATTTTCTTTCCTGTGACTTCAAATTTTCAGTATCTTTACATTCTTCTTCTTCTATCCTCTTCATCTCCTTAGTCCTCAGATTCTCAACTCCAGATTCGGAAATTGCTGCATCTCTTTGTTTCTTTTTTGTTATGGGTAGTTACCAACTAGTATTTAATTTTGATATATGTTTTTATTCCTACTTTTTTGTGTGCTGGGGTGTTGGTAACAGAGGTAAAATATGCCTTTAGGCGACGCACGAACTGGAGCCAGAGTTGATCCTGTCGAAAGTGCTGGAACAATATGGCGACTTCTCGAATGGATTCACGAAAGAGTACGCCACGAAGAATCGAGACATGGTGCTGGAGGCACTCTCCGATAGCGGCACCGTGGCGCCGTTAATAATGACTGCCAATTTGCATTCAAGGGCGTACCCGAAGAGCTACATGTACGTCTTCTCGCATCCGAAAGCTATGCAAGACTACTCTGGCGTAAGTAGGTCTCGACGATACAACGAAGATCGATTATCATGGCTCAGACGCCCCTCGACAAAGCGGGACCCGACATGGAGCGGGAAAAATGTTGCACGTAGCATCAATGGGCGAGGAAAGGATATGTAGAGGAGAAAGGGGAGAGGGGGGGGGGAAAGGATAGTCTGGCGGGGATGATGAGTTAAAGTGCACTTCCTTCAACGCTCCAATTCATGCAGTTTCATGCAACGTTGTTATTCCATGACGCGGAGTGTTGCTCCTGAAAACGGAGGGCATTTTTCATCGCTGTACTTTATCGGTGAATCTGAAATGGGGAATTTACTTTTTCTAAGTCTCTTACCGCAAAAGAGAAGCGACAGTGCAAGAAAGAGAAAAGACGCGGATAGAAAGATACACGTTACCTACGGTTTTCCATGAGAAGCGTAAGAGTGTTGATTGTTGGAGGAGAAACAAGCTGAACTTGGAGAGATTTCAGACAAACAGAATTTTCGTTTTCCGATCAAATTTACGAGCAACTCTGCAATTAGTAGATGACACTTCTAGAATTCTATCTTCAATAATAAACTACTTTTGAATCATTTAAAGTTCATATAAATTGTTTATTTTAAAATCTAAAATTTGCATTCTAGTATATTACACTCTTGCAACTATTAATATCTCTTATTACAATTTCTTATTTTTTATCTACCTCGAATTTATTTTCACAATTTAATTTTAATATAATTTATATTTAATCAATACGTTTCTTTTTTTTTTTATTACAGAGTACGAAGACTTAGAAATTTACTAGCATATTATTGTATCGAACAAATAATGTTTGTAAAAAGTTATAAAGTTGTCAAAGTTTGCAATAATGAAAATAGTAACAGCAACGGTTTCCAATTAAATTAAAGGAAAATCAACTGTAAAGTCGATAAACTGGCGAAAGATAGGGCGAAATTTTTAGGACGTTGGACATAGTTAGCGCATTGTATTCATTGTCCTTGGTTTCTTAGTTCGGAAGGGACGAGCTGTGACCTAGTGGTGGCCATTGTGCTCGCACAGTTTCGCCGAGATAAAAATCCGTACTGCGAACCCATTTGGATTTCGGCCAACTATTTTTATCGTCGTTGCGTGCGCCGGCAACAACCTCGCCATGCGGTAACCGAGAATATCGCTAAATTGAATGTACCTCCGGGTACAACGTACATCCTCATGTCAACAAGGATATTAGATTTTAAATCTGCAAATAGCGATTCGCAGTGTGCATCATTTCCATGTCAAGTTACGTCAATCTCTCTCTTTTTCTATCTCAATTCCTCTTCGCTCTCTCTTTCTCTCTCTCTCTCTCTTTTTCTATCCTTCTCTCTCTTGTGTACGTACGAGCTCGATGAATTTTAATTTTCACTCGTTCTCATAAATTCCACCCTTTATTGAACTTTACAAATTGACGTGTTTGTAAATACGCTCACTTTATCGCGCTAAAAATAATTACGATTGCGATAAATCTGAGAACTTGCACCCAGGAAATTTCATTCGAAAATTGTTAGTAGGATTGACGATGAGAGAATTTGAACTCGAAATAAACTTTAATTTAGCGGGTAAATTAATTAAAAATAGATTGTTAGCTACAAATATAATGTAATTCACACACGCGCGAGCGCGCGAGCGCGTATATATATATATAATTCTGGATACTAAGAAGAAGATATTAAAATAAATTTGAGGATTTAAATATATTACCGAGGAAAACATGTGTATTTTAACGATTTATAAATTTTAAAAGGTATAAAAGATTTTCAAAGCATTTTAAAATTTAAAAAAATGTTCTATATCTGAATATTGGATAACCGATTTTTAAATTTTTGTACCTCTATTTTGTAATAAAAAACATTATTGATTAAATATAAATAAATAAAAATTAGATTGAAAATAAATTATAAAAATAAATTAAAAGTAAACAAACGTACAAAATAAAGAATTGCAGTAAAAGATATTGATAGTTGGAGACTACATTAAAATGGAAATTTTAAAGGATATATGTAGACAGAGGATAAAAAAGAGATATGGGACACGAGAAATGCTGAAAAGAAGTAACAACCTGAGCTTTGATATTTTTGAGTTATGCGAATGGCACAGAAGTGTCGATAAAATCCGTGCCTCGGTATAAAAGCACATCTAGTGATCTCGTTATATTGCAGCAACACCGTCAACATACAGTGCATGGAGAAGAGTTGCCCTACATACTGGGTGTCCCATTAGACAACAGCAAGTATAACTTACGAAGTCGATATGACATCAGAGAATCGTTGTTTTCAGAAGCTATCATGAATTGGTGGTGCAGCTTTGCCTACATCGGGTGAGTTAATAAAAAAGAAAAACAATAAATCTTATATAACAATAAATTATTATCTTATATGTACGTTTATTATGACTTATACATTACGATATTTAGAAATATTAAGTTAGTATTTTGGATTAAAAAAGATTTAAAACTTTTGTAAAATTCGGCTAAATAAATGTCAACATTTTAATTATGTATTAGTTTAAATTAATTTTTATTTTAGTACAGTCTGTAATTATTAATTAAAGTTTAAAATTCGGAATATTAATTAATTGCAAATTGAAAAAAAATAATTTAATTTATTTGAAATTCTGACAAATTGAAAATTTATTTCTCTTGTGTGGTCCTAATTTTTACAGATATTTCAAATTTCATTCAATTATTATTGTAAACAAATTTAAGCAAATTATTATTGCAAATGAATTTATATAAAATGTAAATAAAATTTGTAAAGTCAGATAGTAATAATAACAAATTTAATTAAAAAAATGTGAGATAGGGGAGATCAGGGTTGACTATAGGGGTAATAGTAAATAATTGAGGCTACATTAAAAACAAATTGCCGCTAAGTCTGCTGTAACATCTTGTTGCGAACATACCTATGATAGAAGTTATGCCACAATTTTAAAAAATCGTACACCTAAGTAAATATTTTTATTCTTAAAGTTTTTATTTTACAATCGTATATGATTGTCTGAGATATTAGATTTCTACTTAGTTATCGTATATTGTTAATGTTTTTAAAAAATGAAAACAGATGGGGATAGTAGACTAACCACAGCTTAGAACTGTATGACTCGTTTAGTGACGACTCTTATAGTATTTACCCAAAATTTTATTCCTTTAAAGAGATTTTCCTCAGTGGTAAATATTATACGTTTAGTTAGTTCTCTCCGGAATTACTCCGGTCCCGAGACTAGTTGAATCAGATGGAATGCATTAGAAAAATGTATTTTTTTTAATATTAGTTATCAGTTTCCCATTATTATTAAAATATTATTAGGTAGTCAAATGTATGTAGTAACTGGCGTAGAATTCATTTTTCCGATAAGTCTATTAATTTCGTCTGTAAAAATTTGAAACTGAAAAATGAGTCTATTAGCCTCGATCTCCCCTATAATCTGAAAAACGATCACAGTGCGCATTAAAGTTAAATTAAAGGTTGGTATTTAAAGTTACACATAAGCGATGGCAACCACATAGAAACAATTGTATTTAATAACAAGTGCCGAACTATTGTTGTTGCGCGTTGACGCGAAAGTCCGCAGTTCGTAAAGTTGTACTTGGTAACACATGTATCCGGAAACGTGACTTTCAATTAACTAAACATTCAAGCGTTTAATTAAACCAGACTGTAATATATTTTTCCAGTTGCATGATTGAACTTTATAAGCATATCTCAATTAAAATATAAACCATGTAAATAATTTACAGAACGTTACAAATTAAAAGGTAAATTAAATGAGTAAAATTTCAAAAAATTTTTCATGTTTATTTATAAGAACAAATTAGTTAAAAATAAATTATAATTTTGACATATTGTTTTGTCTTTAATTAAATCCAAGGTAGGTATTGCTCTAAATGTTGAATTATTTACTTCATTAATAGCTAAACAGAATAAAATGTTAGAGAAATAATATTAGAATGCAATTTTTGATTGCAACATAATTTCATCATTGTTAGTATGCAGAAACAAAAGTTTATGAATTCGGCAAGAGAAATTTTTTATAAAATTTTCACTATGCTAAATGACTAAATCTTTCATCTGTGTGTAATATACATGAATATACACGCATTACAAGCACATTCGAATTTCGGTCTTGTATTGGCTCGACGCAATTTGACGCTTGTTATGCTGATGCTCGATATTGTCGAATTAACGATCCAGGGAATCGGCCGTTTTAATTTGCGCGATGAAAGCAGATTATTCACAGTTCCGAATTATTTCGATATTTCGTTTTACTCGACAAAACATTCCGCTTTACTCAGTTAAACAAGCCCAATATTCTCGCGATATAAAGCCATGCTTTGTTTAAATGAGAAAATACCGAATTTCTAGTTACGTTAAAAATTTATTTGCAATTGTGAGATTATATTCCTCGAATTTTAATTACATTAAAAATTTCAAGTTAAATATGCACAAATTAGAATATTGAATCTGTGTTATTAACATATGTTACAAAATCATTGATATTTTAACATTAGAAGCATTTTCGTTATAATTTAAAAGAACAAAATTGAACAAATTGAAATTCAAAAATATAATATTAAATGTAATATCTATGTTGCAAAGAATATACTGAATATGTTGAATTACATATGACACACTAGTTGTATCAACGTTTTTTTACTAAAAGGATCAAGCAAATAAATTACTATATAAACACAAAGATGATGGAAAATCAAACATTTTGTCAACATAAAGGACATAATTATTGAAAGATAAAAAAATTCGAAATTCTATCTTTTACATAAAAATATAATATTAATCTAAAAAATAGAAACGGTCAATAATGATTAATCGATGCGTTCTTTCATTTAACTTTAAAAGATTTAACAAGATCAATTTGTCTGATTTCGCGTTTCAATTCAACAATTTATTGTTTTGAATGGGAGAGTGAGTCAAATTATTGAAACTTACTAAATTTTTATACTAGGTGAACCACAAACTATTTTCACCGAATCAAATTGAGGGGCAAAACATACCCAATTAATGCAAATTAAAAGTAACATAACATAATTTTGTACTCAACAATGTAATAGTTATACTATATAACAACATATATTTGATTACATTTATCTTGCTGATTGCAAAATTATAACATTGATGCCATATTAATTTTAGTTGTTGTCGAATAGTATATCGAGCTATCACTTTATTTACTACTATTTGATTAATTGTCTCAATAAACAGACATTAATTTTACCAACATCTGCGTTAGCTCTAAAGGACATTTTTATTTCTTGCTTTATTTATATTATCTTATAGTCTCATTTACTTATTTATTGTCATTCATTTGCATGTTCCTGCTTCTAAGAATCGAGTCCACATAGTACACTGCAACGCATTAATTCGCTGGGTCATAGTAGCGGTCCGACTTATCGACGTTAATTTTTTACTCAAACAATATTAACTTTACAAAAAACTACAACAAAGAAAAATCACTTTTTTTTTTATATATACTTACAATTTTGGAGATGTTAAAACCTAAGTAAGTACATTGTTTTATAAATGTACACTATATTTAATAGTTACACATTACATAATAAAATATAAATTTGTATAAATTGATTTTGTATATAGACAAATCAACATATTGACGGCACTAGTTAAAATGTTAATTAAAAATAGGTTTTGCGTTTCAATTTTACACAGCTTTAACATTTGCACCACGTCATTTCGTTCCTTCCTCCATGACAATTTATTTCTTACGGATACAATCTCGTAAAATTATATTTTGCATTACAACCACCACACCATTTTTTGTCAGACACTTTGAACATATGGCTCGACTAGAACGTACATACCTATGCATTACTACGGGTGACAGAACTCAGAGAGAACTGGGTCAGTGCAATTAAGCAAACAAAGGTATTTAGATTTAGCGGTGAACGTTGCGCGTTTGTAAACGCCGCACAGCTGATCGATATTTTATGCGTTACCGTATCTATACGTAAGTGCGCGTCTCTTCGCCATAATAAACGACGCGCAGCATCTGTCCCGCAGCACTGTCAGTGATAACGAACGACGGGGAAAAACGGTCTTTTTGTTCCACATTGTGCGAACGTTGCCACGCGTGATCGATCGGATACATCGCGTTCATTCAATCAGTCATTAAAAAATCATTTTCCGGCGTACTAAAACCGTCAATACGCGCAAACGAACTGTATCTTTAAAATTAATAGGGGTTCCAAAAAGTCGATGGACATCAAGTTATCCGCCGGATTACAGTATTGCTATTCAATATTTTAAATACGAGAGCTTATTTTGGATTGGTACCATTCAATAAAGAGATTTAAATTTCACGTTTGTTAGCTTTAAATTACAAAATGTCCTTAATATGATAATTCTAAAAGAGCATTCTGAAAATTTTATAAAATGAAACTCTATAGGGATTCTAACTGCGCAATATCTTTACAATAACAGAAAGAAAACAGTATCGAGTATCCCTATGGACTATTCTGGATTATCCGATATCTTTTTCTCCTATATCACTCCAATTTCCTGACGGTATTAATCCCAAGCTGCCCTGTACCGACCTAACAAAAGTTATTGGGCGCGTTTCCGCAGCTACATTAATCATTCGCGATTATTTATCAAAGAAATTATTCGAACCCGCAGGAATCCGAACGTCGCAAAACGATATCCCTACCTGACTAACGTGTTCAAGGAATGGGGTCAATACGATATCGAGTGGCCAGAATATGATCCTGTCAATCAAACGTATTTCAATCTAAGTAAGTCAGCAAGAATTTCGGTATTAGCGCACCTCAAGTGCTTGCGGGTGATAATAAAAAAAAAAAAAAAAGTTTATATTGAGAGATTTGAAATTGATTTTTTCTGTGTCATTTTACTCTCTCCGTTTATGCATCGTGTGATCGAATAACGATGAAACAAAATCTATCATCTCAAGTTCGGTTCACGTCGAGAATGTCTATTTTATGGCTTATTTAGCATATTACATAATATCTTCCCCCCTGCACGCAGCCATACCGCCTAACATAGGTGCGCACTATCGTTCGACGGAGATGCAGTTCTGGAATGAGGACCTGCCCAATCTGCTCAGGCACCCGAATAAAGATATTTCGGGCCCGACACGACCGAGAGGACCGCGACCACAGATTCTTGACTTTGCCGATGGGATTGGCAAATATGCCAACAATACTGCCAACCGGAAGTACGAAAGCTACGATACTAGGTCAGTAACGAGACCAGCGAATAAAATAACCCTTTCAATTTAACCCTTTGAAATCGAATTGAATGTACACAACTGTTAAGGTAATTTCTCAATTTGGATTTTTAAGATAATCTAATAAAGCAATATTTATATGAATCTACGGACAATTTGTAAAATTTACTTCTGGAAAATTTGAAGTAATAATTTGGAAGAGAAATTAACTTGAATCTGAATAATTGGTTTGATTCCACACACATGTACATAGTTTTTAAGTACGTATAGAATTATTATTGTGCTTTTTACACTTTTACGAAGAGTCGTATGTTGGATTGTGCAGGTATACATCTCCGTCTAGCATCACGGATTCTAGTACGGAGAAGACGCCATTTTCAACTTTGGTTACAACGGACGGGAGCGAGAGTTCGACAATAGAGCCGAGCACGTTAAAGACCTCGTCGGCTATGATGATGGTGATTGTTTTCTTCGTAGTGTTTATACTGATAAACTTCACAGCCTTTCTACTCATCTATTATAAGAAGCAGACTATGAAGGGAAAGGAGAAATCGTTGAAGAGACGAGGCAGCGAGAAGAAAAACGACTCTGTCAAGAGGTCGAAGACTGATAAACACGAGAACCATTACGGGCAGATAGGCTACAAAAGCGACAGCAAGCCAGATTTGAACGATGTGATAAAGAACGACAAGGCATACGACAACAACTCCAACTTTGGACGCAGATCGAAACTATCCAGGCAGAATTCCAGCTCCACCATTGACACTCATATCAAGGTTAGAGAATGGATTCAGCAGGAAATTGTGCACAGGTCAGTGAAAGCTTTAAGTTTTAAACTTTTTTTGCATGATAATAATTAATCTTTGATGTTCTTTTTCTTTTAAACGAATATTATGAATAACATTCGATTATAAGTAATGTATAAATATCGGTGCAATAGCTTTTATTCTTTAGTTGAAATTGAATTAATTCTAAATAATTATATACAGATAATTATTATAAAGATCGCGAAGTTTAATGTACTTTACTTATTTATGAATTGAAACGTTTTGTCCTTTTAAATTTTAAACAGCTTTATCATTCAATGAAACTACTTTATCATGTAATTAATTATTCGAGAATTTCTTTAAAAGATTTCTGCTGTCTGAAGAAAACTTATTCTTTAAAATTTCACGATCAAAAATGCCATTAGGAGAATTACACTTTCAAATGAAGTTTAATGTAATTTATGTGCTTTCGATAAAATAAATAACTTAAACTAATTTATACGTTATCTATTAAATTATTCGCCATTTTAATGCCAATCTACCGTATACTATTCGATGCTCTTATAGGAATCAACGTTTTGAACTCAATTTGTATGTCTTTCCTAATTGCGAAGAGCTGAAGATACTCGTAGAACGCTTACCCTCGCAAATTCGTCGATCGCGGTAAGGGTTGTGCGACCCAGTAATCCAATTAGGGGTTCCGCTTAAAGAGTAGCTTTGAGACGTGGCCCGTATCACTCAAATCAGGAAATTCAGTTCCCTTCTCTCTTTCGCTCTCGAATATTTCGTTAGATGTATTGACTTGTGGAAAACGTTGGCAAGTGCTGCTCTGCAAAGTTAATTGAACTCGACTTACAGTTTGACTTCGTCTCTCGTTTATTTAACAAGCAATATCTGGTTTGCAAATCGCAATATTGTTTTTATTTTTACAGCATTAAATTTAAAAAATACTGACAGAAGAAAATACAATTTAGAGGGAATGTTATGTGCAGAATGTTATGTACAAAATAAAAGAACTGTTATACCTAAAACCTGTAACATGTGTAAATTGCACATTAAATATTTCATAAAATATTTACATTTACAATTCTAACGTTAAATTCTCCTTTAAAAAAGAGAAAAATCCATTCTGTGAGTTATATTAAATAAACTTTTTATTTTTGGAGTGCGTCATAACATTTACTATATACGTACATATCGCTTGTTGGTTCATGAAATGCAGCTGTAACATACGAAAATCGTAAAATTATATCTGAAATATGTTTAGTGATAAATGTGTATTATAGAACATTGTATATGAAATAAACAAACGTAATGTATCATTAGGTAAATGTGTGTGGCAAAGTACCTTTTTGCTTGTTGGCATAACGTACAAGATTAAAAGTGATTAATTAGCTCCGGGACGTGAAAGTGCAACCGCTATTATCACTAGTTGTTATCAAAATTACAAAATTAATGCGTACCTTTCATTGGCGAAGTCGTAAAATGGTATTCTATAATCAATAATTCCCAATAATTGAACGCAATAACTTCTCAGTTATAACAATAACATTCTCTAATAGTAATATTATCTAATGGCATTAATTTCGAATTTTGCGTAAAATTGACAGAAACATGTGTTGTTACACTAATTCTCATGATGGTTGCTTCCTTTAACTGAAACATCTATTGTTTATTATTTGAATATTCGAATGTGTTTTACATCAATATTATAACGCTGATCAAATAAATTTTTTAACAACTTTCTATCGTAACGGCTAAATTCTAAAGTAACGGCTGACATTGCTACCATTGCTGTAAAAATGTAACAATGTTAGCGACAGAAAAAAAGTAAAAAATGTTATCGTTACTGAAAAAAAGTGTCGGTAACGGTGTTAGAACACGTTACTTCTCAACCCTGTTAATAAGATTATCGGAACAATTATATATAATTTTTGAATAATTTTAACTCTGTAAATATTTTTATAATTACAATATAAACAAAGCCTTTCGTTATAAAAATAAGAGTCGTAACAAAGATAATTAATTGTAAAGAATTACGGCGAATGTTTAAATTATTGATGTCAAGCAATTTTTGTTGTATACTAAAGATGACCAGATAGATGGTCGAAAACGTTAAATAAATATATTATTTTTGAAATAAAGGATAATTAAGCAAAGACACCTGGCACTCTTTGTTACGACTCTTAAACTTTATAATTAATAATATAAGGTAAGTTAGTGTTGGACTTGAAGAGTCCCTTACCGTATTTATTTTCTTGATTGTGTAAAAAAATGTTTTCAAAACACTTATGAAATCGATCGGAGTTTTATCTTTTAGTTCTGTTTTGTTTGTATAGATGTTCGCCGAGGTTTTTACGTAAAACGCGGGAAACGTTACAGAAAGAGCATCAGGAGAAACTGACTAAGCAGCAGGAGGAAGAGAAGCAACGTTTAGAGGAAGAAGTGTTGAAGGAGAGGAAAGACGAACCGATTTACGACGAGAGCCCGGCGTTGGTTGTGCGCCCTGGAAAAAAATTGAAATTGCCCAAAATTTCTGTGGCTATTGACGCTACGCCAGCGACCAGAACGGAATCGATTTTGAATCAAGTGCCGATCGAGTTAACAAAGAGTATCGAATTAGCTAATGAACCAAGTCCACAGCAGCTGATGACTCCTGAAGTGGTCGTCATAGAGCATCATCATTCTAGGAGCGATCCTTTGCCGATGGAGAACGTTTTAAAGACAATGAAACCGAATTTCTCCACTCCCAGGATCTACGAGTCGGATTCCGGAAGCGCGAGCAGTCTCTACGCCAAGATCAACCCTAAACTGAAGTCTCGTTTGCCTCGTCCTGGTCCGGGGACAAATATCGAAGTGCCCTTACCTGAACAATCGAAATACGACGATCCTCACGACGAAGAGATCTACATAAAAACTGGACCAGTCTTAACGACTTTTGGTACAAGCGACGTGAATGTCACGTGTCGGGAACCGACTATGGAAAGAGAATGCATCAGTCCTGAGGAGGCCTTGAAGACAATAAAACGTCGAAATTATCCCAAAGTACTGCCAGATATCGAGAAGAGACGATCACTTCCGGCGCCCAGTAGTCTCTTTGTACCGAAACAGTACGCAAATTCGTTACAAGACTATAAGAGTGGTAATCGCGTGAACTTATTTTCGAATCTACCACCGTTACCACCTCCGAGAATATTTGGAGCCTCCAAAAGCCTAGAAAAAAATGATTTCTTCGCAGAAGAAAACGAAAGTCAAGTCGAAGGTGAGCCGATGACAACAAATCTGCATGTGGGTCCGTTACTAAAAAGGCCAGACACCGGCAGAAATAACTCCGATCCTAACATTATCGATTCTTTGGAAGGAAATAGAAACGTCCAGGCTAGCGGAAGTGTGGATGCTATTTACGCTAACCCAAAGTGCCCGCTTCACGGGAGTCAATATCCCTTTTCACCGACCTCGCAGAGTGTTGATGGCGATCTCGGCAAGTCTTCCGGGCTTTTGGACGTGGGCAACCCGAATTGGTACAAACCATGCGAATCGTCAGGCATAATGACGTCGACCACATCGGAACCGCAAATCGTGATCAGCAAGGACGAGAGAAATGCTGTTGGCGCTGTGTTGCCCACGGTAGAACCAAAGATTGTGATCACGCCAAGAGTAGTTAATCAATGTCCAGTCAATCGACAACCAAGTCCAATAGCGCGTTCTAAGGATAAGATCGAGCACGAACTAAAGACAATTGATTCAGCGCGAAACGGAGGATCATTGGAAAGTTCGAATATTTCTGGTGGTCCGATGATTTCGAGAGAGACGGAAAAGAGGGAGCCACGAATAATCATCACGGCACGGGAACCGAAGAATTGTGCCCCGGTGGGTAGTCTAAAACAACCGAAGATCATCATAAAGCCAACAGCGACTCTACCGAGGAACAGGGATCAGAGGAATATACCGAAGGTGTCAGCCATACCGTCGCCAGAACAGCAGAATTGTCAGAACAGCGAGCGAGATAGGGCTCTGGAACAAAGGGAAAAGCCGTCCCTGAGGGAGAAGCCAAAGGTTACGAGGATTCCGTCGTTTTCACGCAGGAGGGAAGAGCCTGGTATTGAAAAGCCGTCGTACATAGAGAAGACAGAAATCGCGCCGACAGTAGTGGAGGCGCCTGCCAGTAAAATCACTAACGCGCCATCGACATTCGACGCCAAGTCAGGCATACCGACGCCAACGACAACGATGATGCCGAAGAGCGAGAAGACCTCCAGCACGGACTCGTCGTCCGCCAGCAACGGGAATTCCAGTAATTCGAATACCGGTACGATCAAACGGAAGCCAGCGAACAAGAAATAATTGGCGGGAGCCAATTCGAGAGCCACGTGTTATATCCCGTTCTATTTCGCAAACGCGTAGATGGAATGCAGATGGGTCTCTACCATTCCGACCAAGTGTCGATGCAGTCCTGTTGGCGCCCAACTCTCTTCTACGAAACATTCGCAAGTGTGCGTGCATATTTGCATATAATGAAATTAACACAACAGCTGTTCTCTTTGCGTTTAAATTAATTTTTAATTGTTTAAAAATTTTTTTTTAATATCAATTCTTATTTATATTAAATCCATCAAGATTATTCTCTTTAGAATTAGTATTATTTATTACTATTCTTTATATCAAATATCTAGACGCGTTGTTAAATAACGCGTGTAAACGACATTTTAGCAATGCTGGCGCATTTTGTCCAAGTATAACTTTCTTTATTATCATTATTATATATTAATTGTATCATACTATTTTTCTATGACTAATTAGAATTATGCGACACAGACATATAGAAGGTAGACGAAATAATTTAAACACTTGTGGATATACTATTTATTTTACTACTTGCTTTATTCATAAGAGCAGCTGGCCCATCATTTATATTATACATTTTATCTTTGTTGGAATAGATTACGCAATGCTTGCGAATAGTTATCAATGGAATGAATTGTACTATTCTTTTAATAGATCTTTTAATCTTTTAATTGCTAACATAAATGATATTAAAAAAGGAAATTTGCTTCTTACTCTTTATTTATTGTTAACATCTTTTCCGGCCAATTAGACAATTGTCTAATTTAAATATTATTAATTATATTTATAGTTCTGAAATGAGAAGAGATTTTCTTTCAATATCTTTTAAGCAATTGGAGAATGTGTTCTATTAAAGAAAAATCACTTTTCAAACATGTGTGACCCTATTCTACAAGGATAGAATCTATATTATTGATTAATAGCCACTCAACTTTTTATTAATAAAACAAGTAGATAGTTTATTTCCCAGATGTTCACATTTTGCTTATCTTCTATAATTCAATTGTACATCATGTAAATATAATAATGCCGTGAATGTTTAAGACTTTAAACAGCGTGACAATATTTTTAAGATTTGAATCAGTGAAGTGAGGTACGTGTATGAAATATTAAAATTGCTTTCGAGCATTGTCGATCGTTTGAACGATTTTAAATCAGTTAAACATGATCGATTAGACGTCGTGAGTTAGATGTTAATAATTTTCAAGGCATTCGCGCTCTTTTGTACGCCTATAACTTTATACGATGAAAAATAAATGTTTTTCATACTTTTTCAACAGAAAATTCGAAATGAGAATCTATCCTATCGACAATTTATCGTGTCTTGCTCCCGTTTTCATATGCGATACACCGCACCGCGTATCCTCTCGGCGTTACATACGTTCCACAAACTTTGTTATTAAGTGAAGCAGGTCTATAAGTCGCGCAGATGCAGGGAGGTACAGCACGACAAAGTGGTTGGCGAGTTCTCACTTATATTACCGGTGGATCGAATTGATTTTCAAAGTTCGCCCGATAATGGGATTCTCCTCGTCTCTAACCGTCGCCGCACGGAAAGGAAAAGGCCATTTTCACGTTAACCCTCCTACCCTTCTGCAATCAGTCTGTCTCTCTCTCTCTCTCTCTCCTCTCTCTCTCTCTCTTGCCTCTATCTCTTTCACCCTCCTTTTCTCGTGTTTTCGTTTCATCCCGTTCTACGTCATGCGATCCGTTCGAAAGCGTTACCATGATCATAGTTCAAGGAGCGAAGAAAGGCAAGAGTTTTTGATGGGACTTTGTGAATTTTGACAAAATTGAGTTTCTAAAATGTGACATTTTAATGGCACGGCGACGATTAGAATATTTTTTAGTTAATATTCATGATATTTCGAAATAGAAACGAATAATAAAACAATTTTTCTAATTTTATCGTTAAGAAAAAAAATCTTTTGGATAGATCAACATTTTCTCTATAAATTATTTAACTGTATTACATATATTCGCTGATCTCACGGTTTGTATGTATGAGCAAAGTTCATCAGTTTAGTATCAGTTTGCCGAACTGCAAGGCACGAGTAATCTGACAGCGATAACTCGGTCATATTCTCCGGAGTTGGAGTATATGCGTCGTTAAGTTAACGTTTTGATGCCGAGGACCCTGTACCTTATGCGACAGCGTGTAACCAGTAATCATCCACCGCCCACGACGACTGGAGAAGGGCTTGTAGTCGCCATGACAGGTGCGTGGCACCGCGTGACCCATTGTCAGAATGATATACTATCAGAAGTAACGGAGGGAACAAAAGCTAGATTCTGTCTTCCAAGTCCCTCGAGGATAGATTTCCATTTCTATAGAATTACAATAATCGCGATGGCGAAATCTTCGTTTTTTTTATCTTAAACCCTTGTCATCTGAATATAAAGGAATCTGAATATAAAAATTCTGTAATGTAAAAATTATTTTTATATTAATTTTCGTCAGAAATAATCAAATTAAAACATTAATTTTATCAGTAAACAGAATGTTGTTGCTAAGCAAACGTTAAAAAAATCTTCAATCGGTACAATATTAAAAAATATCATTAAAGAACATTGTTATATGTACAAGTATGAAAATAACATTTTTCAAATAAATTAAACAAATTTAATAATTAAACAGAATTTCTGTTAAAATTTAATAAAATAAAGTTACTTCAGTAAAATGTAATCACGGTCTCTTATTATTTATAATTCGAAATAATCATTAAAATAATATTTGTAATAATAATTATAGAATAAATCAAAATTAGAATAATTCATAATGACTTAAACTGCATTTACAGTGTTATGCTACATAAGTTTGCAATCAGCCGGTCGATGAGAAGGGTAATTTCCGTATCGTGATTATCTGCGGCACGCGCATCTAATTATCACACGATAATCAACGATTAAGCACGGACCTACACGGCAACCTCATTATTATGCCTCGGACGGCGTCGGAGGTGCTGCGAATGCATAGGTACATAATTTCGTCTTCTCCGTCTAAACCAATTAATAAATTTGCACCGGCTGCCTGCTCTCTAGACAAGGTCGGTCCGTCTATTTCCACTAGTGGCCATTGTTTGCAAGACAATGCCAGCTACTTGGCAGTTAGAATACATTGTATTGCTTGAGAGGTGACCACTGAATGTGAGATGTCGGATTAATTAGATTTTGAAATGAGTACATGCTCCTAAATAACTTCCCTTTAATTACCTACAATGCACGGGGCACAACTGGGAATAATTTATTTAAAAAATCATTATATTTTTAATAATTTTTAAGTAACTTTTTAAATAATTCCTTTTTTTACAACTTATGATTAATTACGGTCTACTTCTCTCGCGTGCTCGAGCTATCTTGATTAATCCATGTTAATAGCTTTCTATTTAAAAATTGTTCAAGTCACGATGCTTTTTCGAATACGTTGTGTTATTTATGCATGCAATGCTAATTATCTTACTCTGGTTAAAAATAACATTACATATATTTCTGTAAAACTTGTTTAGTCTCAAGCTGGGTGGAAAATAAACGACAATGGTACATTCAGTGGAAATGACAGTAATCGAAGAGACCACAACTGTGCGTCCCTTGTTGTGGAAGTTTCCATTGGCGAGATTTGTTATCTCTATTGGGTTCCGAGGATTTCAATTCCAAGGATTTTAGAAGCACAGTCCAAGAACAATAACTGTACAATTTAAAAGGATTAAAGAATCACAGGATCCAAGAAATCCCCCTACGAAATAAATAAAAATTCTACAATTAAAAAGCTCCAGATTTCAGAGACTCAAAGATCTAAGATTGCAAAGGTAAAAAAGGAAAATTCAAACGTCCGAAGAGATGGTCGAGAAAATTCTTGAACGAGACACAAACGGAAGACAAATCTGAAGAAAATATCTTTAAATGGAAGCTTAATCTCACCTCGAAATAGCTCTGATTCATAAGAAAACAATTCGAATGCCTGTGATACGCCATGTCTAGTAGCTCGAATGTTAATTTATCGAGTTTTTTTATCAAATGGTTTCACGTTTTCCTTTTTCTCATTAAATGCATTTACTCATCTTCTCTTTTTACACAAATTAAAAGAGTCAGGTATCTCTTAAAATCAATGCGAAAAGATCAAAAAGATTTTGAAAAATTATCCAATATTAATTTATAGGTTTTTTTAATTTTTTGTTTATAATTTATGAATTTTACTTATTTCCAAGTTTAAAAAGTGAAATATTTGAATAGTGAAATTTTTAATAAATCGATTGTCTAGGAAGTTTTATAGAATCTTCATCGGATTATATATTGCGACTGAAAAGGGATGATGCTTTCCAGCTTAACTAACAAGGTACCAATACAGACTCAATAATTCTTTATTAAGAAAGTTTCAAAGGATAACTTCATTAATGTTTGTACCTGTTCGACAGACGCCAGAGGCGATCGAAGTTGAAAATTGTCCATCGTCGCGGCGACACTCGATAGCAACTTGCAGCAACCCAAATCCAATAAAAAAGTACATGCCCTACAATGTCGTTACGAGAGATCAATTTTTATCATATGACAGACCAAGTTTTGGCATATTACACGCGAAATAAAATTGTCAATGCACGTTAACAGCTGTTCGTAAATAAATTTCCAGAAATATCAAAATTTCTGAAACTCTTGTAATTTATATATAATTTCTAAAACATGCTTTATATTCGTGAAACATTACGTCTTATTAATCTTTCTAATACCTTTAAATTACTTAATTTATAAAACAGATCTCTTATTCCTCGAATTCTTCAATTTGAATAATTGATGCATTAATCAGCAATTTTTGTGTAGTGAAATAATATTTATGATCGAGAAAAGCAAAAACTAAGTAAACTTAGCCCAAACAAAGCTTTTTCTTGAATATTCGTTGTTTCTCATTGGGCAGTCTTTGTAGGATCCTCATTTCCATCTACGAAGTAAATTGAATCTTCTCGTCTGCACTTCTTTTCATCCTATTTTCACTTTGGCAGAAATGGGAAAGGCAGCGTGAGAAGAGTGCAATTCGACGTCACCGTTTGTTGCGAGACGTGAATGTGATTCTGCTTCTGCGTTCGCGTCTCGTTAGAGCGAAAATCTTTCGACATCGGTCGCACCGAATTATACCCAACGATCCTTTACAGCGTCGCCATCCTTGATGGCGACGTGTGACGATAAAGTTGAT